CCCCAAAACCCCAAAACCCCAAAACCCCAAAACCCCTTTTTGTATTTGTAATATTGAAATGTAAATTTAGGAGATCGAAAGGGAAACAACTTGATATATTGTTCAAATTCCCAAACCTCTTTCTGATTCATTGGATTTTACAAGAGTTCAAAATCGTCAACTATCTCACCCTCGTCTTTATCATGTACATACTCTTGTTTTTGTTCTTTAATGCTAATAAGGTATTCGTCTTGGTCGTTTGCTTGCGTTTGCCATTCCTCTATGCTTTCATAGAGCAAGATAGCATCTTCAGGGCAATTACAGAAGAAACAGAAAGCCATTGTGGTGTCTGAGTCACTGAAATTAATAATTTTAGATCCTCTACTGACATATGTCGAGAAACTATCCTCATCGATCTCATCTACCACATCTTGGATAGTGTGTGGATCTTGAGTTATCAGTTTTTCATCAAAGTATCCAATTCAGTAAAGAGCATATGTTTTCTTACCACCGAGGATCCCTGCACTTCAAGGATGGGATAGAGCCTTCTTTATCTGGGTGTAATAGCACTTATCAATCTTATTTTAAGCCAAGCCTCAGAGGGATGATAATTCAACATCCGTTTAATGGATTAAAGGTTAGAACTTCATCGATTTCATTTTTGTAAATTATTCCATCATTGAAGGTTAAAATTTTGTAAGTTGTATACTGCATGTTGTAGTTTTCATTTACCGTTTTGATTACTTGAGAAATCGAGTGGGCTCCGTACCATTCACCAGCTCCTTTGCCTATTAATTTCTCCCCCTCTTTAATAATATTTTGGATACTAAATGGAGATTCATGTTGTGCTAAATTGTCAAGAAATAAGGGCAGAATGTTCTTCATTATATCTGCAACCATTAAGCCTTGACTCTGACTACAGTCCATTTTGTGTTTAAAATGACGCATAAGTGTATAAGCGAGCATCATTTGTGCAACTCTAATCATGCAGCCCCATCCTGTATCAGTTTCATAGCCTCCAATAGACTTGAAGCCTTCTCTATATGTCATCCAGGGGATGTAGGATGCATAGGATTCCATTTCTTTCCGGTCATTTATCAGTTTTGGATAGCAAATTAGTCTGTATTGGGCTTCAGCGGGGTCTATGTTCATTCTATATTAAAAAAATTAGGATTTTATGATAAATTAGGGTCCAAGCTTACTAAGACGAGATATCTTACCCCATACTTTTCATGAAAATGTTCATTAGTCCTTTCTCTTGGGTGGGCTGATCTTTCTTAGAGTCTTCTACTCATCTTTCCTCTTGCTTTTCCATTTTTGAGTTATAAAATATCAATTTATTAGGGAAATGTTGGGGTTTTGGGGTTTTGGGGTTTTGGGGTTTTGGGGTTTTGGGG